CAGCGCCTCCCGGCCCTCACCCAGGAAAGGGTGTTTCGGCTTCCCCCAGCCCTGGGTCGGCGCCCTTTAACTCATGAGGCAAAACCGCGCCCCTCCACAGCTGTCCCCTGAGACGCAAGGGGTTCCTCCCTCCGTCCTCATCGTGCCTCCTCCTCCTCTGGCTTGCTGTGGCCGTTCTGATGTCGAGGAAGCCATCCAGGGCTGGGGAGGGGTATGTTTAGGATCCGTGCTTCAGAATCATTTTTTGCTGCATGGTGTTGCCACGAAATCAGGTGTACGATAGTATCTTTGCCTCCCCTCTCTGCTTTACAATAATCAGAGGAGAATAGGGGGAAGAAATGTGTTGGGTCAAAACAGATATACCGCTTCCTAGAGCTGAACTGTAAAGGGTGAAGAAATTCTTGAGTAATGGGGAAGAAGATCCATCTTCCCACTGTATGAAACAGAATCACATACTTTCTATTAAGGTTATAAACAGGGGTCATTACGTATAAAAAGAGCTGCAGGAGCTCATTAGCATAACTTATTAGCATATGTCACACCCCCTGACATCACCGGAAGTGTGCACCAGCCCCTCTGACAGGCGAAGGAAAAGGGGAGGGGGAGGATCTCAGGCGCTTCTTCCTGACAGAGGTGCTGGCGTGCCCACAGCCAGCCTGGGTGAATTATAGAATCATAGACTCATAGAGTGGGAAGGGACCTCCAGGGTCATCTAGTCCAACCCCCTGCACAATGCAGGAAATTCACCAATACCCCCCACACACCCCAGTGATGGATCTCAGGCGCTTCTTCCTGACAGAGGTGCTGGCGTGCCCACAGCCAGCCTGGGTGAATTATAGAATCATAGACTCATAGAGTGGGAAGGGACCTCCAGGGTCATCTAGTCCAACCCCCTGCACAATGCAGGAAATTCACCAATACCCCCCACAGTGACCCCTGTTCCACGCCCAGAATATGATAAAAAAACCTCCAGGATCACTGGGGGCCAAACTGGCCTGGAGAAAAATTGCTTCCTGCCCCCAAAGTGGCAATCAGCATTTCCCTGGGCTAAGCACTAATGCAACCCTTCCTGCTCTACCTCTCGTGATTTGCCTAAATTCACACAATCAGCATTATGATCCTTTTAAAGTTGAAAGCATGATATAAATGCAAAGGACTATTTGTAAGATTATCTGTAAGACACAAGACCAGGACGCATCTCACTTCTGGCAATCACTTGGAGAGACCCTATCACTCAGCTTCCATTGCCCCCCACACACCCCACACTGGAATAAGAACATAATATAAGGCTATACCACATTGCAATAAAGCCCCTACAACTGTATACAGAAATACTGAGCTTCCCTACCATTTGCCACAACTAGCCCACCACACAAACAGGATCAAGACTCCTAAGTGGACCAACAGACAGGCATACACTCCTTTGAGAAACTGAGTATTACATTACAACACCTCTGGAACATTACAGATCAGTAGAGGCAGCACTGCACAGTGGTC